GGGAGAATAGAATATATCGTCAATTGTTCTATAATTTCTCCTCGAAATGAAACGTCGTATTGAACTGCCTGTCAAGGTTTTATAAGTACACATGTCAAGGATAATAAGAATTGAGTTATAAATCGACTGATTCTAGTTCGAGGCTGGCAGAAGTTATAGCAATGTTACGATTGATGGGATTTTAGCTTTTATAGCTCCTAGAATTATTTGAAACACCTAGGTAACATGAGGTGTTTTCAAAACCACGACGCAGCGCGAATAACCATAATTGCCGAACGAGCAATGACAAAAACTATGCCGTTAAAAGTAACGATGTGCATAGCGTTCAATATGTGACGATGAATCCAACGTTCGATTTAACTACCAACACAGACAGTATTGTTAGTGCTAACACGCCTAATACATTTTCTGCACATAACGGCAATGATTGCGTTAACAATTGACAATGTTTGATAAAACACAAAAACGTCAATAACCGAAGAAGAGCATGGCCCGAAAGGTTGCGATAGTGTGAAAAAGAAAAAAAAAATATTTGTTATAATTTTTTGAAGTTTTATCAATCGTATATTATCTGTTTATTTATTTGTATTTCATCAAACACACTATCAGTTTGTTTTTTCTGTCTAGAATGTATCAATGACTGCATTATTGTTCTTGTTCATAGCACAAGTCATTTTCCAAAGAAAGTATTACTAATACGTTATAAGCTCAGGAAATTTTAACACTGTTCAAGAGATACAAGGTGAGCACATCGTTATATGCTTTCCCATTTAACCGTATTGTTGTGCTTTCCAGAAGTTATGGTCGTTTGTAACGCGTCATAAGTTTTATGGGCACTTTCGTTTTTTTTTTTTTTTTTTTTAAAGAATAAGCTATATAAAACAGCCATTCTAACTTATCAGTAAACGCCTTTTCTAGTATAGTTGGTCCTGAATCGTTTACGTATATCTGTATCACTGAAAGTGAGCGGTTAGATAAAACCGTCTAGCTCTTCAGTTAATGTAAGTTCAGAGATTATCGTAAGGTTTTTCAACTTAAATAACAGGTTTCTCGTGTCGCATTCCCTTGGTGACGACTCAGTTTTTTTCCATAGAAAAGGCTTACCTTAGAATCTTGGGCTGCTCTCTGCTTCCGTACTGTTCTTCCATAGTGCAAACTATTTTGCCAAACGCTGACCGTTGCTATAAAACGTGTTTAGGGATATAATCTCTAATTTCAAGCGAAAGGTTTGTTTTGAATTTCGTGCAAAGCTACACGAGGGCTATCTGCGTTAGCCGTCCCTAATTTAGCAGTGTAAGACTAAAGGGCAGGCAGCTAATTATGACCACCCACCGCCAACTCTTGGGCTTCTCTTTTACCAATGAATAGTG